TTTTTGGGACAGAGAGAGAGACAGAGCATGAACGGGGGAGGGGCAGAGAGAGAGGGAGACACAGAATTGGAAACAGGCTCCAAGCTCTGAGCCATCAGCCCAGAGCCCGACGTGGGGCTCGAACTCACAGACCGTGAGATTGTGACCTGGCTGAAGTCGGACGCTTAACCGACTGCGCCACCCAGGCGCCCCAGTCCTTTTTTGAATAAATGTAGGTTTCTAGCTCAATAAAACACTCTGGGAAAGAAGAATTGTGTGTCTACCTGTGACAAGCAGTATAGCATATTTTTAACAGCTTGAGATTTACAGTCATTTGAACCTAGGGTTAATCTAGGCCACTTCCTAGTAGGTGTATGGCCTTGGGTAAGTTGCTTGCCTTCTCTCTGCCCCACTTTCCTTCTTTATAAAATGGTGATAGTAAGAATCTATTTGGGTTGTAAGGATAAAGGAGACATATATATCTTTACCCATATATGTATTAACATAAGTTAGATCATAAGATATATGCTTTTTTAACATGCATGTGGACTTTATTTTTCAGCCTTTTCCATTGTATTTATAGTGTAAAAATCTTTACTTTTAATGAAAACTTAAAAAAAATTCAGGCATGGGGCCCATCTGGCTGGCTCAGTCAGTAGAGCATGTGACTGTTGATTGTAGAGTGATGAATTCAAGCCTCACATTGGGCATAGAGCTTACTTAAATAAATTCAAGCACATAAAAAATTATATAAAACATATAATACATATTATAATAAAATAAAAGTACAGCAACCACCTGTGTAACAACTTGGTTTAAAAAATTAAACATTATACATATGTATACCACTCAAAGCAGTGGTGTTTATAATAGCAAAAAAACTGGAAACAACCTAAATATCTGTCAACAATAGAATAGATAAATTATGAAATGGATAATTTATAGGTACAAGTAATGACATGGATATAAGTTTCATAGAAGTATTTATACCAGTATGATTCTATTTATAGGAAGTTCAAAAATATGTAAAATAAAACATATTGTTTATTTGGGAATAAACAAATATGGGAAAAATTACAGAGGAAAAAAGCATATTAAAACCAAAATCAGAATAGTGGTTACTTATGAGAAGGTAGAGAAAGAAATAAATTGAGGGAAGTAATTACAGGGGATTTCAAATTTTTTTTTTTTTACATTTATTTATTTTTGATAGAGACAGAGCACAAGTGGGGGAGGGGCAGAGAGAGAAGGAGACACAGAATCCAAAGTAAACTCCAGGCTCTGAGCTGTCAGCACAGAGCCCAACGCTGGGCTCGAATTCCCAAACCACGAGATCATGACCTGAGCCGAAGTTGGACGCTTAACCGACTGAGCCACCCAGGCACCCCAATTAATTACAGGGGATTTCAAAGGAGATATGAATGTTCTTAAGTATTGGGTAAATGGGATATGCTCACATCCTGCATATTCTGTAAACATTCTTTTGTTTCTATTCAATATTTAATAATCTTTTTTTAAAAAGATAATGTTACTGGGGCACCTCGGTGGCTCAGTCGGTTGAGTGTCCGACTTCAGCTCAGGTCATGATCTCGCTGTCCGTGAGTTTGAGCCCCGCGTCGGGCTCTGTGCTGACAGCTCAGAGCCTGGAGCCTGTTTCAGATTCTGTGTCTCCCTCTCTCTGACCCTCCCCCGTTCATGCTCTGTCTCTCTCTGTCTCAAAAATAAATAAACGTTAAAAAAGAAAAATTTTTAGGGGCGCCTGGGTGGCGCAGTCGGTTAAGCGTCCGACTTCAGCCAGGTCACGATCTTGCAGTCCGTGAGTTTGAGCCCCGCGTCAGGCTCTGGGCTGATGGCTCAGAGCCTGGAGCCTGTTTCCGATTCTGTGTCTCCCTCTCTCCCTGCCCCTCCCCCGTTCATGCTCTGTCTCTCTCTGTCCCAAAAATAAATAAACGTTGAAAAAAAAAATTTATAAAAAAGAAAAATTTTTTAAAAATAAATAAAAAAAGATAATGTTACTAATATAGTCCAAGTCCTGTGTATGCCTTCTCAAATGTATTCCCTTTTCTTTTTCTCAGAGATAACCACACTCCTCAATTTAGAATTGATTACATGCAGTTCTCTAACCTGAGTGTTATGTTGCAGACATAAGGAAACAATAAAATCTGAGGAATGCTGCAGTCATCCATTAGTATTTTCAGTGATTAGTAACATAGAAGTAACTTGGCATTCTAACTCTCAGTGGTTTGTCAAGATTGTGTCATGTATAGCTATTAAAAGGATAATTACAGTAGCTACCTCCCAATTCAAATACAGGTAAACATTATCAATGGATTATATATCATATTGTATGGATATATATATATACCTGATTTTAAAGAATCAGTCCCCTATTTTAGGACATTTAAGTTGTTTCTAGCTTAGAAAATGGAACAGTGATGTCTGTTCTAAAGTTTTGCGCAGTCCCTGTATAAAACTTGGGTCATGTTATAATGGATATTTGCTATGGCCCTTGTCCTTTTTTTTCCACTCATAACCTTATTCTGTGTCAGAACTATAGATAGACCTTTTCTTTTTTTAAACAACTTACCTACATAGTTTTCCTTCCATACATGTGTAACAAGATTTTACCATTTCTTTATTGGATATTTAAGCTATTTACAGATAATACTGCTAGGAATATCCTTGTGTTTGTGAATTTGGGGGATTATTTCTGTGTTTGTGTTCCTGGAAATGGGAATTGCTAGTTTAAAATTCTTTTTTAATGTTTATTTGTTTTTGAGATTGAGAGACAGCACAAGAGGGGATGGGCAGTGAGAGGGAGACACAGAATCTAAAGCAGGCTCAAAGCTCCAAGCTGTCAGCACAGAACCTGACATAGGGCTTGAACCCACTATGAACTGTGAGATCATGACCTCAGCCAAAGTGAGACACTCAACCGACTGAGCCACCGAGGTGCCCCGGGAATTGCTAGTTTAAAGAGTGAATATTTCAATTTTGACATCTTTTGATAGATTGCCCTCTAAAAAGGTTATACCATTTGACACCTTGATAATAGGGGGTCTTCTCTCACTCCTAAGATTAGGTTAGATTCCCTTGCTATAAGATCTAGTAATATCCTATGTTTTCGTAACTTTCCCAATAGTTGTCTGTTGTTAATCTTCTTTAGTAATTCACTTACCTGCATTGGCTAGCATAGCATCAGTCAGTTGTGGTGGATATTCACTAAGCACAGGGTAAGTTGAAAGTTCTGCTTGTAGTTTGTGTGTGTTAAAGATGAAGTTAGAGGAAATTTGCCTTTCTGGTTTATTTTCTGTGCGTAGTTCCTCCTCCTTTTCTAAAGTTAGCCACTTTGACACGAAATTTTAACTGTTTGTGGATCTTTAGTTTTGGTATGTCTTTACATGTGGGTTTGTTTGCTGCTGAGAAAGTTGTACCTGGTTTGTTATTGATGTCTCCTTCCAGCCCTTTGTACAATTTGATGAAGGACTTGTCTGTGCTTTCAGCCTAAGACTATAGTGCCCTTTTTACAGAAGGACAGCCCCTTTTGACTCCATTGTCTTTAACCTGGTCCAAACTGTTTTGTGTATTGATCATTTTTCTTTAGTTAATAGAAGCTCTGAGGACTTTTTCTAGGTTTAGCTAGGTGAAAATGTCTTTTATTTCTTTTAAAATGTCTTTTTTGTCATTTTAAGGTAGAAAAGTTCTACAAACTTGAAGTAACACCAGTGATTTTCCAGTAATACTTAATTCCTTTAACTATATCTATTTACAAAACATCTTTATTAAGTGCCATTCATTTTTCCTTTGGTTTAGATAACCTCAAGATCTCTGACTTTGGCTTGGCAACAGTGTTTCGGCATAATAATCGTGAGCGTTTATTGAACAAGATGTGTGGCACTTTACCTTATGTTGCTCCAGAACTTCTAAAGAGAAAAGAATTTCATGCAGAACCAGTTGATGTTTGGTCCTGTGGAATAGTACTTACAGCAATGTTGGCTGGAGGTAAGAGCTTTTTAATCATGATGAAACTCCTGTCTATGGAAAGCCAGATTTGTTGTACCAAAATAAATAAAACAAACCAGGGGAATCCATATTTATATGATAGTATTTTGATAGTAAACTTATTTATAACTAAGTTGGAACTTTTAATGTCAAAGCTTTTTAAAAATCAGTTTTATGTAGAGCTACTAAATGAAATATCACGATAGCAACCTCTTTTAAAATTCATGTGAATAATTTTGGAAAGAGTAGGGCAGAAGTAGTTCATCTGTCTTTGAGGTGCCTCTAAAATTTCTATGAGTTAGCATTCTTAGTTTGAAAACCATATTGAATTAATTTGGAGGAAACATTTAATGGATTTGTATCACTGATTATTTTCCTTTAAAATCTTTACTATATAATGACATGAACACTCAGAAAACTGGGACTTGTTTCTTTTTTAGAATTGCCATGGGACCAGCCCAGTGACAGTTGTCAGGAATATTCTGATTGGAAAGAAAAAAAAACATACCTCAACCCTTGGAAAAAAATTGACTCTGCTCCTCTAGGTAACTGGGTTATGTTGATTGAAAGCACTGATTTCTTGGATAATGAAGACTAGTGCTGTTTGAATTTTTTTCTTATAAATTTTTTCTTTTTAACTTTTTTTTTTTTAATTTTTTTTTTCAACGTTTATTTATTTTTGGGACAGAGAGAGACAGAGCATGAACGGGGGAGGGGCAGAGAGAGAGGGAGACACAGAATCAGAAACAGGCTCCAGGCTCCGAGCCATCAGCCCAGAGCCCGACGTGGGGCTCGAACTCCCGGACCGCGAGATCGTGACCTGGCTGAAGTTCGACACTTAACTGACTGCGCCACCCAGGCACCCCTCTTTTTAACTTTTAAATAATCACATAAATAGTCTGTGATCCTTGCAGATAGATTAGAAAATAACAATTTTTTAAAACCCTATAATCCCAGCACTGAGCACTCGTGTTTTTATACCTTCAGTTTTTCATTTAAGTCTTTGGTCCATTAGAAAAGTTAATAGAACATTAACTTCTATTAATGTTTCGATATATAGTTCTACACTTTGTTGTAAAAATAAATAGCAAGTATATGTTTTTTGTATATGTATATAAGTGTGTGTGTTTTTACAAAAAATAAGATCATACTACACATGCTATTTTATAACCTGTTTTTTTTTTTTGTCTTAATGCTATAGTCAAGTACATTTTTCCATGACTATAGTTGTAGGTCTGTCTCATTATTTATAAATGAAAGCTGTGATGGTATTTTGCTATGTGGATATGTCTTACTATATGCATCCAATTCACTGTTTCAAAGACTTATATTTAAAAAAAATTTTTACTTATGAAAGAGATCCAGTGATCATCCCTGTAATGCACATACTGTAAATCATTTAATTAAAAAGCAAATCCAGAAATATCAAGGATGTATACAGGTTTTTTGTTCTTTTTTTTTTAAATATTTATTTTGAGAGAGAGAGTGAACACATGTTTGTGAGAAGGGGCAGAGAGAGGGAGAGAGAGAATCCCAGCAGGGTTTGCACCATCAGCATAGAGCCTGGTGTGAGGCTAACCATGAGATCATGACCTGAGCTGAAATCAAGAGTCAGTCGTTTAACTGACTAAGCCACTTTGGTGCCCCTAGGATGTATGCAGTTTTAAATTATTATGGTTTACTTTGCCAAATTACTTTTCAGAAAGTTTGTACCATTTTACCACAGTCTCATTGGTTTATATATTTTTAAAAATATTTGATTATTAGCTATTTGCCTGTTTTTGTGGATGGTTTATTTTACTCACTTTTTGGCAGGGAGGTTTTCTTATTACTTTGAATTTTTTAAAACATTAATATCATTAGATCTTTGCATTTGTTACAAATATTTTTCACAATTTGCCATGCATTTTTATTTTGTTTATGCTATTTTCATGTGCAGAAGTTTTATATTTTTATTTATTCAAACCTATTATTTTGTCCTTTGTGGTTTTCTGACTGTATTGTTATGTTTGGCAAGGTCTTCCCCACCCCTAACTTTAGAAGAAAATTCCTGTGTTTTCATATGTGTGTGTTTTTTTTTAATGTTTATTTTGAGAGAGAGTGCGAATGGGGGAAGGGTAGAGAGAGAGAGGGAGACACAGAATCTGAAGCAGGCTTCAGGCTCTGAGCTGTCAGCACAGAGCCCACAGTGGGGCTGGAACTCAAAACCATGAGATCACTACCTGAGCCGAAACCAAAAGTTGGACATTTAACCAACCGAGCAACTCAGGCACCCCTTAGTTTATTTTTTATGTAGGTTCCATGCCCAGTGTGGGGCTTGAACTCATAATTCTGAGATCAGGAATTGCATGCTTTACTGACTGAGCCAGCCAGGGGGACACCCCTCATTTGTGTTTTTATACCTTCAGTTTTTCATTTAAGTCTTTGGTCCATTAGAAAATAATTTTGGAGGAAGTTAGAGTGGGAGAGAACAAAAGCATAAGAGACTCTTAAAAACTGAGAACAAACTGAGGGTTGATGGGGGGTGGGAGGGAGGGGAAGGTGGGTGATGGGTATTGAGGAGGGCAGCTTTTGGGATGAGCACTGGGTGTTGTATGGAAACCAATTTGACAATGAACTTCATATATTGAAAAAAAAATAATTTTGGGGGTGCCTAGGTGGCTCAGTCGGTTAAGCGGCAGACACTTGGTTTCGACTCAGGTCATGATCTCACGGTTCATGAGTTCAAACCCTGCATTGGGCTCTGCACTGACAGTGCAGAGTCTGCTTGGGATTCTCTCTCCCTCTCTCTTTGCCCCTTACCTGCTCATGTTGTCTCTGTATCTCTCAAATAAACAAAAAAACCTGAATAAAAAAAAGAAAATAATTTTGGTTTTTGGGAGATGTATGAGTTCTTTATCAAAATAATTAAGGTACTTTAGGATGACAGTTACTTATATTACTATCTCTTAAAAAGTTACTAGAAAGTAATTTTTCTTTATAAAACTGTGTGAATGAGGATGTAACTTGACATATAGGCACACTGGAGTTTGGTGTTGAAAATGGATGAGGGTTTTTAAATCTTTTTGTTAATGTTGTCAAGTGGGGAGAAACATTTCCACCTGGTTCTTGCTTTACTTGTTTGCAGACAACTGAGCATCAGATCTGGGAATGGCGTTCTCAGATACAGACAGTAGCAAAGAGCAAATGCGTGAAATTAAAGCAATAATTAAGTAGCTTTATTCTTTCTCCTCCCTGGAAATAATATTTGGATATAAGGAGATCAATAAAGAATATATTCCACAGTACAAGTTTCTAATTTGCATGTCTCTTTTGTAAATGTTGTCTTAATATTTTATTTTTAGCTTTGCTGCATAAAATCCTAGTTGAGAATCCATCAGTAAGGATTACCATTCCAGACATCAAAAAAGATAGATGGTACAACAAACCTCTCAAGAAAGGTAATATCTTTAAAATACAAGTATTTTTTTCTGTGAAAGAAAAGGCACTTGCGTTCAGTATCACAAATCAACAATACAGGATACCTATGGTCTCTGTCCTTATGTAGGTTATAATGTGTAGTAGGAAAAATAGAAATACAAAAAATAATTTTAAGTTTGTTAATAAAGTGGAAAAGCAGAGTACTATAGCTAAGTGTTTGACCAAGTCTTGAGTGACTTAGAAGACTTGTCTTCCTGAGGAAATCACATTAAGTCTAAGAACCGAAGATTAAAAGGGACCTAGCCAGATGAGTACTAGCAAGATGAGTGGCAGATTCTGAACAGAGAAAGCGACATTTAGAGAGTCTTAGAGTTTGGAAGGTGATACATTTGAGGAACTTGAAAGAAGACCAGTATGTCATGGACCATGTCTGACTTGTCATTTTAAGTCATTAGTCGTTAGCATGATGTGTGGTACATTGTAGGCTCTCAGTAAATGTTTGTTGACTAAATGAGTGAATAGAGAAGGGGGAGAGGGAGAGAGGTTTGAAATGAAGTAGATAGTGACCAAAGTGTGAAGGAGGACCTTGTAAACCATGTTGAGGATTTTGGGCTTTAACTTAAGGCCATTGAGGAAGCAAGGAAATGACACGATCGTATATTTGGTTTTAAAAGGTCCTTCTGCCTACTTTTTTTTTTTCCCATTGTTTTTGAAATTTTTTATCCTAGATGTGAGAAGATGGTACCTTGGATTGGGTTAGTAGCAATGGATTTGGAAGGAAGAGGTAGATGCCAAAGAAACTTACAAACTAGAATTGATAGGACTGGTAATTGTTTATATGTAGAAAATGAAAGAGAATTAGGAATCCGGGATGACTCTTCTGGGGTGACAAACTCAAAAAATGGTGATGCCATTTACTGGGATATAACTTAGGAAAAACAGAATTGGGGAGAAATTTTATTTGGCTTTGGACATGTTGATTTTGAGAAATAAAACTGTCTAATAAGTGTGTGTGTGTGTGTGTGTGTGTGTGTGTGTGTGTGTGTGTGTGTGTGTGTGTGTGTAAAACTCAGGAGACAGGACCAGGCTTGAGATGTCAATATTTAGTTGTTTTCTGCAAATAGATGATAATTTAAACTGGTAGATGAAATTAAGTATATGAAATCTTAAGGAATGTCAACATTTAAGTGGTAAGTAGAGGCCAGGGACACAGAAAAGTAGCCAAAGAGAGGGGAGGAACATCTGGAGAATATGAAAAAAGTGAGGCCAACAGAAGAAAATGTGTGATAGTAGCAAACACTGTTAAGTGAATTAATAACATGAAGCCTGAAAATTTGCCCAGTAGTTATTCATGATCATGGCAGGAACAGGTTTGGTGAAAGGCTAGGAGTAATTTTACTTGATAGTGCAATGATTATAGTCTAAAAGAGAGATAATGAAGCAGAGTATAGACAGCTCATTCAAGAAGTCTGGCTGTGAATGGGAGGAGAGAATGGCTAAAGATAAGTGAGGAGTTTTTAACTCTTCTCTGAATGTGTCTTTTCCCTTTTCCCTTTGTTTTAATTGAACTCAAGCTCTCTCCTGAGAACACAGCTTCCCCTCAAGTGGTGATGTTTTCTTTCCCACACACTCCTACCCTTGAATCTGGGAGTGGGGCAGGCATCCTTTTTGTCCTTCATTTCTACTTTCTTCCTTTTTCTCATATTTCTCCCCTCTTCATTTTGAATCTCATATTATCAGACTACTTCCTAATGTTCCTTCCTTGTGATAATCAGTTTCTGAACCCCCATTTAAAACTCCTGCCACATTGTCACTCTCTCTAACGTGACTCTTGTACATTTTGTCATGGCTCTTGGTGATTTAAATATTCATTTGGATGACCCTTCGAATATCCTGATTTCATATTTCCTTTACCTTCTCTCTAGTGATCTTCTCTTCAGACATACTGCTTTGACTACTGGCATATTTTTTTTCTGGCTTCCTCCTCTAGTACCCTGACTTCAACAATCCTTTGACCCTACCTAGACTTGAAGTCCATTAATTCTACTTCCTTTTCACTATCTCTTACCTGTCCCCTCCTTATATCCCAAGTTCAGTCATTGTAATGACTTCTTTACTTTCAGCTTCAGCGTTCCTGCCCTATTCTCTCTTCATCATGCTTATTGGACAAAACCTAATACAATTTTAATCCAGTTTTCTACCTGCTCTGTACTTACACCTGCACAGCTGATTGCACCTGGATCAAAATACACAACAATGTTCACTTTAAATTCAGGATCACTGATCTCAAGTGAGCCCTTAATTCTGCCAGGCAATTATAATACATTTCCCTACTTCTTTCACAACCTCAGTCTTCTAAGTCACATTTGTATACCTTTTTTTTTGTTTTTCAACTTCTAGCACCTCCTTCCCCATCCTCACTCTCACTTCCTATTTCACTGGGAAATAGAAACAATCATAAGGCAACTTCCATAAGCTCCCATCACCATCTCCAGCCACCTAACCAGCTGCCTCTGTGCTCATATATTCTGCTTTCTCCTTTGTTGCTATGAATAAATTGTCTGCTCCAGATATATACTAGCTCTCTCTCTTATGCACTAGGCCCATTTCTCTTTTGCCTATTCAGAGACAATTCTTTTGTCTTCCTCCTGCATCATTAATTTTTCCCTCTCTACTGCTTTCTCATCAGCATACCAGCATGCTGTTTCTTTCCTCTTACTGCCTGATGTATAGTAGGCTTAATAAAATAAAATATTTGAATGAATTAGTAAATAAAATGTTCAGCTAAATGTGTGTGTGTTTAAATGATTTTGGGACCGTTCCAGTTGAGAGGAGGAGGCTGAAGGTCAAGAGAGAAGGAATGAAGGAGCATCAAGACCCCCTGAGATAGGAGGGCATAGGCTCACGTACAAGTACAGAGATGAACATTTTATGGGAGCATGGAAGAGGGAAGGATGGGTAGCAGTGCAAGTAAATTGACAGATTTAGTAGTGGCAAATTGAGGGAGTTTCTAATGACTTATTTTCTTTGTGCAGTTGGAGATGGTATCGAATGCGAAGAAGTGAGGTGGTGGGGGTGGGTCGTTATGGGAATTTGACAAGAGTATAGAAGTTTTGAAGAGATCATTGTGTAGAAAGGGAGAGGAAACTAACTAGAGAAACACAGTGTTGAAGATTCAGCTGATGGTAGTAACCAGTGAATTTATAGTGGCATCATTTTCTGTATAATGATTATTCTTGGTAAAGCTTTTCCAGGGAGCAAAGAATGTTGGATAGAGCAGATTCATAATATTTATCACCACTGTCATAAATTGTTTTCTATTTTTAAAAGTTTTGGTTTTTTAGCTAGGTCTCTTTGTCTTCGTAGAACACTGTTCTTTTACCATAAATGGTACCATTAAAATTGTGGCCTTAACCCCATACTTGGAACATGCTTATAGGTCAGGATTTGTGAAATGTGTAATTTGATAAGTGAGTTCTCATAAGTTTATAATGATCATATTTCTTTTGTAATCATGTACAAAGAGCCACTATTTGTCTTATATAACTATTTTGCTTTAAGTACGTGGATTTAGATGTGTTTTTACTTCTTGAATTTTCCAGTGGGGTTAGTTGAAGAACATTGCTTAGGAGACTTGAAAATATTTGTATTTATGTTTTCTGTTTTTTAGGGGCAAAGAGGCCCCGAGTCACTTCAGGTGGTATATCAGAGTCTCCTAGTGGATTTTCTAAGCACATTCAATCCAATTTGGACTTCTCTCCAGTGAACAGTGCTTCTAGGTAAGATAAATCAGCAAAGATCAAATAGTTGTTGAATGTAGTACTCCCATAAGAAGTAATGCATATATATATATATTTTTTTTAATAGTGAATGTAATGTTTATCAGTGTGAGAATGGTAATGTGATATAAGAAAGGCCAGATTGATTTTATCTAAAAATATATATTTTCCCTGTATCTCAATGCCTCAGTGAAGAAAATGTGAAGTACTCCAGTTCCCAACCAGAACCACGGACAGGTCTTTCCTTATGGGACACCAGTCCTTCATATATTGATAAACTGGTACAAGGGATCAGTTTTTCCCAGCCCACATGTCCTGATCATATGCTCCTGAATAGTCAGTTACTTGGCACCCCAGGATCCTCACAGGTAAGGGAATTTAGTTTTTCAAATAAATAATGAAAACCCTCTAGTTTTTTATCATAAAGCCTTTTTTTTTTAATGTATAAATCTTAGAAATGTTGTATTAACACTTTAACATATACAGATTTTTTTTTTTTTTTGCAAAGGAAGGAAGAATTAGAAGATACTTTGATGTTTAAGAATCTTAAGTCACAGAAGAGAATTTTCAGACCAATTAGTTGTGATATGACTGCTTTTGGTGATACCAGATTTATTCAGGTCTCCTCTGTTTGACATGTAGAACCCTTGGCAGCGCTTGGTTAAAAGAATGACACGGTTTTTTACCAAATTGGACGCAGACAAATCTTACCAATGCCTGAAAGAGACTTGTGAGAAACTGGGCTATCAATGGAAAAAGAGCTGTATGAATCAGGTATGTTTCATTGATTTTCCTAAAGAAAAATGTAAATATTTGAGTAAAAAAGATCATTATCAGTATATTTTCAAAAAAGAAACAATTGAAATTCAAAGGATTTAAGTAAAATGTTGTTTACCTTAAATAATATTGAAAGTCTTCTCTGAGGTTATTAAAAATACTGACTCAAGTCATTATTTTCTTAAAAACTACATATACTTAAATTGTAACAGTAACAAAGATTACCTTTATGAAAGATGAATACATTAACAATCCCATATTTCTTCCACCTCCCCTGCTCCCACCTACCAGTTTTTGTTGTTTATGTTATTATGGCATATTTGTATCATTGAAATTCTTTATTTTTTTATTTTTTTTAATGTTTATTTATTTATTTATTTATTTATTTTTTCAACGTTTTTTATTTATTTTTGGGACAGAGAGAGACAGAGCATGAACGGGGGAGGGGCAGAGAGAGAGGGAGACACAGAATCGGAAACAGGCTCTAGGCTCTGAGCCATCAGCCCAGAGCCTGACGCGGGGCTCGAACTCACGGACCGCGAGATCGTGACCTGGCTGAAGTCGGACACTTAACCGACTGCGCCACCCAGGCGCCCCTAATGTTTATTTATTTTTAAGAGAGACAGAGTGTGAGCAGGGGAGGGACAGAGAGAAAGAGGGAGATAGAACTCAAAGCAGGCTCCAGACTCTGAGCTGTCAGCACAGCCCTATGCAGGGCTCAAACTCACGAACCAAAGTCAGACACTTAACTGACTGAGCTACCCAGGAGCCCCTGTATCATTGAAATTCTAATCTGTCTTTAGGTTTTTCAAAAACTTTAATGTCATGAAAAACAACATGAGGGGAATATTATGTATTAAAGAAGCCTGATAAATAATGTAATGCATGATCTTTCACTAGATCATGGATTTAAAGGGGAAAAAAAAGCTTTAAAGAGTGTTATTGGGATGATTGGAGAAATTTAATATGGTTTTTATTTTTTTTATTTTTTTTTATGTTAATACAACTTTATTTTTATTTATTTATTATTTTTTTTATTTATATATGAAATTTATTGTCAAATTGGTTTCCATACAACACCCAGTGCTCATCCCAAAAGGTGCCCTCCTCAATACCCATCACCCACCCTCTCCTCCCTCCCACCCCCCATCAACCCTTAGTTTGTTCTCAGTTCTCGACAGTCTCTTATGCTTTGGCTCTCTCCCACTCTAACCGCTTTTTTTTTTTTTTTCCTTCCCCTCCCCCATGGGTTCCTGTTAAGTTTCTCAGGATCCACATAAGAGTGAAACCATATGGTATCTGTCTTTCTCTGTATGGCTTATTTCACTTAGCATCACACTCTCCAGTTCCATCCACGTTGCTACAAAAGGCCATATTTCATTTTTTCTCATTGCCACGTAGTACTCCATTGTGTATATAAACCACAATTTCTTTATCCATTCATCAGTTGATGGACATTTAGGCTCTTTCCATAATTTGGCTATTGTTGAGAGTGCTGCTATGAACATTGGGGTCCAAGTGCCCCTATGCATCAGTACTCCTGTGTCCCCTGGGTAAATTCCTAGCAGTGCTACTGCTGGGTCATAGGGTAGGTCTATTTTTAATTTTCTGAGGAACCTCCACACTGCTTTCCAGAGCGGCTGCACCAATTTGCATTCCCACCAACAGTGCAAGAGGGTTCCCGTTTCTCCACATCCTCGCCAGCATCTGTAGTCTCCTGATTTGTTCATTTTGGCCACTCTGACTGGCGTGAGGTGATACCTGAGTGTGGTTTTGATTTGTATTTCCCTGATAAGGAGCGACGCTGAACATCTTTTCATGTGCCTGTTGGCCATCCGGATGTCTTCTTTAGAGAAGTGTCTATTCATGTTTTCTGCCCATTTCTTCACTGGGTTATTTGCTTTTCAGGTGTGGAGTTTGGTGAGCTCTTTATAGATTTTGGATACTAGCTCTTTGTCCGATATGTCATTTGCAAATATCTTTTCCCATTCCGTTGGTTGCCTTTTAGTTTTGTTGGTTGTTTCCTTTGCTGTGCAGAAGCTTTTTATCTTCATAAGGTCCCAGTAATTCACTTTTGCTTTTAATTACCTTGCCTTTGGGGATGTGTCGAGTAAGAGATTGCTACGGCTGAGGTCAGAGAGGTCTTTTCCTGCTTTCTCCTCTAGGGTTTTGATGGTTTCCTGTCTCACATTCAGGTCCTTGATCCATTTTGAGTTTATTTTTGTGAATGGTGTGAGAAAGTGGTCTAGTTTCAACCTTCTGCATGTTGCTGTCCAGTTCTCCCAGCACCATTTGTTAAAGAGACTGTCTTTTTTCCATTGGATGTTCTTTCCTGCTTTGTCAAAGATTAGTTGGCCATACGTTTGTGGGTCTAGTTCTGGGGTTTCTATTCTATTCCATTGGTCTATGTGTCTGTTTTTGTGCCATAATATGGTTTTTATATTAGATATTGTTTTTGTATCGGTGTCAAATTTCTTGGGTGTTATCATAATATCGTGGTTTGTAGGCGAATGTGTTCATAGGAGAAATATGTTGAAGTGAAGTGTATGTCTTCTATAGCTTGGTTGAAAAACTTAAAAAAACACACAAAAAAGACAAGTAAACATATACTTATCTAGGTTGATAAAATCAATGAAGGATATATGGTTATTTATTGTAGATTCTTTCAGTTGTTTTGTAGATTTGTAAGCTTTCAAAATTAAAAGTTAAGGGAAATTGTTACTATGCAGAAATGTGAGGCCAGTCTGATTTTCCTCTCCCTTGTGTGGGGTAACTTACTTTTTTTTGGTCAGGTAGATTTATTGAGATAAAACTCACATAACATAAAAATCATCACTTTAACCATTTTAAATTGTACAATTTTGTGGTTTTGGTGTATTCACAAGATTGTGCTATTATCATTACTTAATTCCAGAACATTCCATTGCCCTCAAAATAAACTTTGTACCAATTAGTGGTCACTCCTCATTCTTCCCTCCCTTCATTCCCTGGCAGCCACTGATTTACTTTCCGTCTTTGTGGACTGCCTATTCTGGATGGTTCATATAAGTGGAGTCATATAATGTCATATAAATGGCTCTTTGTGTCTGTGTTATTTTACTTAGCATGTTTTCAGGGATAATCTGTGTTGTTTACATTCATTACTACTTCATTCATTTTTATGGGCAAATAATATTCCATTATGTGGATAGAAGACTACATTTTATTTGTCCATTTTCCTGTTGATGGACATTTGGGATGTTTCTACTTATAGGCTATTATATGAATAATGCTGCTACATACGTTAAAAAATTTTTTTTGTAATGTTTATTTATTTTTGAGAGAACAGAGACAGAGCACGAGCTGGGGAGGGGCAGAGAGAGGGAGACACAGATGAAGCAGGCTGCAGGCTCCGAGCTGTCGGTACAGAGCCCGACGTGGGGCTCGAACTCATGATCTGTGAGATCATGACCTGGGCCCAGGTTGGACACTTAACTAACTGAGCCACCCAGGTGCCCCTTATACAAGTTTTTATATGAATTTACATGTGTTTTAGTTTGCCAGGGCTGTCATAACAAAACAGCAGAGACTGGGTGCTTAAACAACAGAAATTTGTTTTCTCATGATTCCAGAGACTGGAGTCCAAGATCAAGGTGCCAGCAGGGTTGGTTTCCTTGGAGGCTTCTCTTCTTGGCTTTCAAATGGCCTTTCCTCTGTGTGCATGCATACCTGGCATCTATGTATGCTAACTTTTTTTTCTTACAAAGACACCAGTCATATTGCATTAGGGCCCACCTAATGGTCTCATTTTTAACTTAATTACCTTTTTAAATGCCCAGTCTTCAAATATAATCGTATTCTAAAGAGTTAGGGCTTCAACATACGAATTTTGAGAGGACACAATTGCACCCATAACAGTGTTTTCAATTTCTTAGCTCTATACCTGCTAATGGAATTGCTAAAGCATAGAGTAACTCTACGTTTGACTTTTTGAGGAGCTGCCAAGTGGTTTACCAAAGCAGCGGCACCATTTACATTCCCAGCAGCAATGTATGTGTTTTGTATTTTTCCAGAACATGATGTGTTGTTCTAGTTTTGCATAATTGTGGTACACCAGTGTATTTTTTATAGTCATTCCTTGAAGTGAGAATTATTATAGATATTTTTGTAATTTGGACTAACCTGATTTTTATTGCCTTAGGTTACTGTATCAACAACTGATAGGAGAAACAATAAACTGATTTTCAAAGTGAATTTGGTAGAAATGGATGAGAAGATCTTGGTTGACTTTCGGCTATCTAAGGTATGTAGAACAGCACTTTTTTTTTTTGAGAGACAGAGTGTGCTGAACTAAAATCAAGAGTCAGATGCTTAATCAACTGAGCCACCCAGGTGCCCCTAGAATAGCACATTTTTTAAAAAAACTTTGTTTTGCTTTTGTTAGAGAAGTATTATGTGTTCGTTGTAGAAACCTAAAAAATATGAAAACATATAGCGGAGAAAATAAAAATCAAGTTTAATCTTGTCATCCAGAGAGAACAGAGACTTATTTTTTACTATATTATAGTAGTCTTACTACTTCTTTAGTATGTATTCTATGCAAATACTCTTACGTAGAGATTTTTTTTTTTAATGCCATTTATTTGTATTTACATGGCATGTGTAAAATATGGTAACTTGCTTCTTCTCATTCAGTGTTATGAGCATTCATTCTTGTCATTCTTCTAAAACAAAGTCTTTATTGTAGAAAATGTAAATAAGTAAAAATGAAATAAAAATAATCCTAAATTATGCTACCCACCAGTAATTACCCTGATTATTTTAGAGCATTCTAAGCTTTGGGGCACCTGGGTTGGCTCAGTTGGTTGAGTGTCCGGCTCTTGATTTCAGCTCAGTCATGATCTCACCCTTCAGGAGTTTGAGCCCCGTATCGGATTCTGTTCTGACAGCTCAGTGCCTGCTTGTGATTCTCTCTCTCCTTCTGTTTCTGCCCCTCCCCTGTTTATGTTCTCTCTCTCTCTCTCTCTCTCTCTCTCAAAATAAATAAACTTCAAAAAAAAGCATTCTAAACTTTCTTATTGAATCCAAATACATCTTTTTAATTACAATTATATGTTTGTCAAAATGTACAATATCATTAATGAATCTTTATCTGTCATAAGTAAGTCTGTGATTAATGTTCATGTACATAGAGTTTTGTTCACATTTCTGGTTATTTCTTTAGAGATTACTCATTCTGATAGAAGACCAAAATAGCATTTTCTCTATTTCCTGAGAGGTTGTACATGGCTCTAAAGGAGGTTGGAGAAATAGGTCACATTCTGAAATTGGAGCTTTGCTGTTAGATGCTTAGTATGGAATTAAATTATTAAGATCCTACTGTAGTGAAATCTTTCTCATAACTGAACGACTGGCTTTGTTGCCACAGTATTTTAGCAAGATTTCAGTGTAGTTGTGTGGCTTAATTTTAGTTTACAAACCCCCAGTGCCTATGGAAAACAGTGACTTAGGTCCAGAGTTACCAATGCTTGAAACAGACAAGCTGCCATTGTTTCTGCTCTCTGAGCCCAGTGTAGTGGGAACAGTGATGGGCCCAAAATCAAGTTGGAATTATTTATGTAGCCATTTCTTCGAGAATATTTGGTCTTCATAAGAAGACCTGAAGGGAATTGTAGCTGGGCATACCTAAGGATATTTGCCTTTAGTTACCACTAAAGAAAGTTTGATTTTATGGCAGTCTCTTTTTTTGACTTTTTTTTTTTTTTTTGGATATTATTCCTAATATAGGGTGACGGATTGGAATTCAAGAGACACTTCCTGAAGATTAAAGGGAAACTGAGTGATGTTGTGAGTAGCCAGAAGGTTTGGCTTCCTGCCACATGAGAGATCCATTGGATTCCTGGTGAATATAGTGCTGCTATGTTGACATTATTCTTCCTAGAGAAGATTATCCTATTCTGCAAACTGCAAACATTAGTCCCTGAAGAGTTGTCTTCCCTCTAGCCAAACATTTTCCATTTCTTTTTGTATGTCCTGCATACAAACAATACCTGTATCTTCACTGTAACTAAAGATTTGGGGAACGAATGGATAGAATTCATTAGATATTTCTTCATCTTGTGTTTAGTGTCTACATGTGATGGAAACCATACTTTGGGAATACATGAGCTTACCAGCTTTTATACCAATGTAACGAAAGATGATATTCTTGCCGCATTGTTAACAAAACATTTGGTTTCATCCAAAAAGTACATGTTTCCTTCATGTTGATTTAGTTATATGGATGGATTTGTAATAAAAGCAATCCCTGTAACTTTTGGACAGTAGATTTATCAGCCTATAAAGTGAAACCAACTTCAAAAAATATATCCTCAAGATTTGTACTTCTGTTTTCACAAGGGCATGACCAAGTATATAAATCTGTTTTTGAATTATAACTGTTAATTAAAATTGCAAGTAGGTATGTTTTTTTCCAGTGTGGTTAATAATATATATAATACTGGTCGGTCTTTCAAGTAGAAGTTGAGCATAAACTCTAATGCTTAACTACCTTTACTCTAAAATTACTATTGCACATTTTAAATATTTTTCTATATTATTTTCTACTTTCACAGCCATATTTTAATTCTTTATTAAAGAAATAAATTTTATTTTGAAAATGAAGAGCTAACTCTGTGGACTTATTGGTGACCAAGCTTCTAGGTGGTAGGGAATAATAGAGGAGGGAGAAAGAAAGGAGCTGTGACAGAAATAGATCTGCTAGATTTACTAAGACTTTGTTTTTCTGATAAAATTTATATTAATTTTTGAATGTATTAGGTTGGGGCCTGTATTCCTTTTTCTTGGTAATTTATAAAATTAATCATCTTAGTCTGCTAAGAACATGAAGTTTTATGGTTAGAGTTTTATCATTATTAGTGTATACTGGTAAATTGTGTTGCTGCAGTATACCCATAGGAGAAATAAATTTGAACCAATAGGTAGCTCTGATGAATTGAGCCAGTAAAATCTCAAACATGAAAGGAATTTTCTTCTTGAGAACTTGTCATTAGTAACTCTCAAAAAAAAGTTATCTCAGGTTTTGACCTCTTCCCTGAGTTCCAGACTTTTACAGCCATAGCCAAGCTGACAATTTCCACTTGACTAATAGTGAACACATGACCAAAACCAACGTTTGGTCCCAGTCCTACAACCCATTCCTCCCTAGTTCCTCCCATCCTAGTAAATGTTACATTCAGCCCTCCAGTCCCTTAAGCCCAAACCCCAGGAATCCTCTTTGACATGATTTTCATATTCTAAACTTAATACAGCAAATCCTATTCAGTTTAGCAGATTTCTCTACAACCTATCCGACTTCACATCTCTCCTAGAAGTACTCTAGTTGAAGTCTCTGTTATCTCTCTTTTCATATTACTTACTCTTCAACAGTTCAAAAAAGTAGTCAGAACGACCTTTCTAAAATGTGAATCAGGTATCCCTCCCCAGTTGTCAACTTTCATGACTTTTCACCACACTTTAAACACAATTTAGAATTTTCTCTGACCTCTTGGCTTTATAGGACCGTCCTCGCCACATTTTGTGCCTCCTCTGCTGCTCTCTGACTTACTCATCCTGCTGTAGCTGCATTTGCTCTGCTGTTCCACTCACAGTGTAAGCACATTCTCACCTCAAGGTCTTTCTTTGCTGTTCCCTCTCTCTGGAGTGCTTTATTCCCCAGACTCATGTTATTTGTGCTTCACTTTAAGTCTGTGCTTAAGTGTCACATGTTATACAGTCTTTCATTGACTTACCTAAATTGTTACCCCACTTCTATCATTCTTTGTTTTTCATCATAACACTTATTATCTGACTTTATATTTTTATTTACCTATTAAATGTCTGTTTCCTCCATTGCAATATGTAATATTTAAGTTCCTTGAAGTCAGGAATCCCATCTGTCTTGTTCAGTTCTGTGTCCCCAGCACCTAGAACATGCCTTATGTATTACAGCATGCAGCGAATGGTTACTTAATGAAGAAATAGACACTCAGTTATCTTATCTCCCCTCAGAATAGATCTGAAAGATGAACACTTCTCTCCATTTTGATTGCTATCACTCCAGTTCAAGCTCCTTCATCTCCTCCCTGGATTTCTTACTAAAACCTAATGTCTTCCCACTTCCACTCTTGCCATTTCCCAACCCTTGCTCCCTCAAAGCCTTTTCTTGACATAGATCCCAAGCTGGTTTTTTTTAAAAGATAAATTGTACTGTGACATTCCTTGCTTAAAATCCTCCAGTGACTTCCCATTGCATCAAAAATGGAATCTAAATTCTTTGCTTGGACTGACCTGCAAGATACACCATCTGTCCTCTTTGCCTACCGTACTATAGGCATAGTGGCCTTCTACTTCTTCTTCTATTCATTGGATATGCCAAGGCTCATTCTCCTTACCGGGTTTTGATGTTTACAGCTGCCACTGCCTGGAACCCCTTCCAGTAGTTTGCATGGCTTATTTAGTATTCATATCTCAGCCCAAATGTTTCTACTATCCCCAATCACTGTCCCATTGTTTTGTTTTCTTCATAGAATGGATTACTATCTGAAATTATTTATTATCTGTGTCCCCTACTAAAATGTAAGCTTGGACTTTGTCATATCTTTTCCTCCTTTGCTTGCTTTCTTTCTTTCTTTCTTTCTTTCTTTCTTTTCTTTCTTTATAATTTTTCCCCCTCTCCCTTGTCCTTTAGTATATCTTATATATGGAACAGGATCTGGGATATAGCAGGTACTAAATAAGTATTTGATGAATAAATGAATGAATTAAATATCAGATGAAGAAAACGCTACAGAACATTGTAAGGGGAAGGTGAATAGGTGCATAGTAAACAAACTTTCTCAGCTATTGGGATTTGTGTAGAATAGTGGGGAAAGTTCCATTCAGACTTGGACAGATTAGCTCTCACATTTACAATTGTGCGACCCCAGGCAACTGCCTCTGGAAAACATTCTAGAGTTGTTTTTAATCTTAAATGAGTTAATGTGTATGAAGAGTATAGGATACTGGGTTGCACAAAAGGCATTCAATAAACATAAGCTGCTCTAATTTTTCTGCAGTGTTCATTATGCCATTTGGGAGAAGGCCTTTACTCCCATTTTTAAAATTAATGTTTGTTTATCAGTGAAAATTTGCTAAGTGTAAAAATGGGAAAGGGATTCTTATCCCAAGATAACAGCTACAATTTTGTTGGAGAGATCAGTGAGTGCTGCGCATGCGTGTGTGTGTGTGTGGCGTTGGTGTGGTGTGGTATGTGTAGTGGGTGATTGCTGAGATAAATATAAACACATAAAACATGTACAGTTTAATAAGCAGTTATAAAGTTAACATCTGTTTAACCAAACTCAATTGAAGAAAGAGCATTTCTGGACCCTTATAAGCCTTCCCTTGGCCCCTTCTTACAGACCACTCCCCTCCCCCAGAAGTAATTATAAAGCTTATTTTTGTAATAATCCTCTCTTTGGTTTTCTTTAGTTTTCTCAGCTATTTATGCATCCTTAAATGATATAGTTTAGTTTTGCCTGTTTTTGAACATCATATAAATGAAATTAGGCTGTATGTAGTTTTTATGTGTTGCATTCTCTTTATGCTATGGCATGTATCGAATTCATCAATTTTTTTACTATATAGGATGCCATTTATGAACATATACCACTAATTACGTATTCACTCTAGTGCTAATGGGTTGGATTATTTGGATTATTTATAGTTTGACACTATTATTAACACGCCTGCTAAGAACATTGTTGTACATGTCCATGAATTTCTCTAGGTCCTGGAGACTAGTATATATACCTCTGAGCAAATGGCTGGGTTTTAGGATATCTATATCTTCAACTTGAATAGAATAATGGCAAACTTTTCTAAGGTGATTGTACCAATTTGTACTGTCATATGAAAAGAGGATGCAGTTGCTGGAAAAAGTTTGGAATGATCTAAAGTATCAGAATTTTCATAGCAGAATATGTATGTCTAGTGTTCTCAGATTTTCCACCTGTGTTTATTGTTATCGGTCTAATTTTTGCCAAGTTACTGGTGTGTAATGTCTTTTTGGTATTAATTTGCTCATTCCTAAGTTTAAATGAGGTTGAGTATCTTATGATATACCCCCCCCCCGCCGTCTTTTCCTCATTTTTCTTCTGTTTTTTCTTTTCCTTAATGATTTTAATTCGTATGTTCAGCGTACTAGTTGTCAGTTGCATAAGTAGTATGTACACTCTCCTGTTCTGTGACTTAGTGTTTCATGTTTCATGGAGGTTTATAATTTTAATGTAGTTCAAGTAAGACCTTTCTTGGCTGGCTTTGTTTCCTATTTAAGGACTCATTCTCTACTTCAAGATCGTGAAGATTTTCTTGTATATTATTTCCTAAAAGCTTTATAGTTTGGCTTTCATGTTTAGATCTACAATCCACTTGAAAATGGATTTTGTGTATAATGTGAGGCAGAGGTCAAGTTTCATTCCTCCCCTCCCCCACTTGGCTATCCAATTTTAAATTTATCCAATTTTTAAATTAAACTGGCCGTTTTTTAAAACATTTTTTAGTTTATGTATTTATTTTGAGAGAGAGAGAGAGAGAGAGAGAGAGAGAGAGAGAGAGAGCATGAGTGAGGGAGGAGCAGAGAGAGAGAGAGAGAGAGAGAGAGAGAGAGAGGATCCCAAGCAGCCTCTGGGTCAGCATAGCACCCTACATGGGGCTTGATGTCATGAACCATGAGATCATGACCTGAGCTGAAACCAAGAATTGGACACTTAACTGACTGAGTCACCCTGGTGCCCCAGGACTGGTTATTGAAAAGATTATCCTACTCCCACTGACTGCTCTTCATTGATTCAGTGTTCAGATTTCCAATTCTTGTTTTTTACAGTACATTTTGGATCGGGATCCAAATAAGGCCCACGTCAGCAATTGACTGATGTCTTTTAACTTGATTTTGGTCTACAAATTCCCCTTCAGCCTCCCTCCCTCTTTCTGACTCTTTTAACCTTGAAATTATTGATAGAAGAATCCAGCTGGTTTACTCTGTAATTTTCTTTGGTCTGGATTTACTGATGGCATCATTGTGATACAGTTTCTCATGCTTCCTCTATTTCCTGTTTCTTTAAATATATACTTCAGGAGAGGTGCGTAGGTGGCTCAATTGGTTAAGCATCCAACTTCAGCTCAGGTCTTGATCTTGCGGTTTGGGAGTTTGAGCCCCCAGGTCGGGCTCTGTGCTGACAGCTCAGAGCCTGGAGCCTGCTTTGGATTCTTTGTCTCCCTGCTTCTCTTCCCCTCCCCTGCTCGCTGTCTGTGTCTCATTAAAGAAAGAAAAACTTACATACATACTTCAGGATACTAGTTCTGTGTCAGTTATATGTGTTGCATATAACCATTTAAAATCATAGATTTCCAGGCGTGCCTGGGTGGCTTGGTTAAGTGTCTGACTAGCTCACATCGTGATCTCATGGTCAGGACAGTGCAGACCTGCTTGGGATTCTCTGTCCCCTCTCTCTCTGCCCCTCCCCCACTTGGACACACACTGTCCTGTTTCTCAGAATAAATGAACTTAAAAATAAATAAATAAAATCATAGATATCCCTCTGAGTACCATTTCAAGTCATAAATTTCATTCGTTGTATTTTATC